TTTTTACCTCTTTGATTTTTCTTTTTGACCTTGTAGGTTCAGATCCTTTTAAAATAAATCTCTTTCTTGTCATTTTCATTCAACTTGAGAAATTAAACTCATGTGTTTAAATCGCCATTCTTTATTTGAAGGCCACTGTTCTTTCTCTACTTTCAAACTTTATAAATAAATGGTATACAGTATGAAATCTTCTGTAATTTACTTTTTTYCCCCTCAATATCATGTTTGTGAGATTTAACCACGTTGATACACACAGCTGTAGTTCATTCTTTTTTTTTTTTGGTGGTGCTGGGGATTGAACCCAGGTCTTTGCTAATACTAGGCAAGCACTCTACCAAATGAGTGACATCCCCACCAGTTCATTCATTTTTTTTTGTGGGGGTGGTATACCAGAGCTTGAACTCAGGGGTATTCCACCACTGAGCCACACCCCAGCCCTATTTTCTATTTTATTTAGAGACAGGGTCTCATTGAGTTGCTTAGATCCTCTCTAAGTTGCCGAGGCTAGCTTTGAACTCCTGCCTCAGCCTCCCCAGCTGCTGGGATTTCAGGCATGTGCCAGTGCACCCGGCTCACTTTATTCATTTTAAATGAATAATGTTATATCCCAGGATATGAACATGCTGCAATTTTCTGATCAGTTTCCACTGCATTCCTAAAAATGATATTGTGAGGTTTTGGGTGGAGGTATAGGGCCCGTTTTTTCCATGAGAACATACAYTCCATCTTTGTAATTTAAGTCAGTAGGAAAGCAGAATTTTACACACACATAATATCAGTCTTAAGACATTTTAATCCTGTAACTTACAAACTAAAATAAGCCTAATAATACGGAGCACAGAGAACTCAATAAATGTCAGTTACTTGGTGACAACACTGAAATAACCCTTACAATTCAGAAAAAGATTCCTCTCTGAATGTTAAATTGCAAGACTGACACATTATAGACTACAGCAGAGATATGAAAAAAGTAAACTAAGAGAATAGCTGCAGGGCTGGCATCATTTGACCATAATATAACTACTATCGTAGTGGAAAAAAAAAAAAAGTCAGAATGGGGAAGCAAAGAAAAAAGGAGAACCAGAGACAAATGCTGATAATCCATAAAAACAATGTCCCTGGGAGCAGAAGCCTTAAACAAGCACCTGATATTTSTTTCTATTCCATTTCACATCTAGCTATTCCTAGTATGGAGAGAGATTTCTGGAAGTGTAGCCAATGCTATTTCCACCACTATGGGTTAAACTTTCTCTGATGTGAGATTGTTTCAACTGGCATGGTGAGCATGATATGATTAAACTTTTTACTTCACTTTCTTCCTTCCTTTCTTTTTTTGGGGAATGGGGGTGGGGTACTGGGGATTGAATCCAGGGTTGCTTTTCCACTAAGCTACATTCCAGCCTTTTTAAAATTTTGAGACAGGGTCTCACTAAGTTGCTTAGGTGTTGCTCTAAGTTTCAGAGGCTCGCCTTGAACTGGCAATCTTCCTGCCTCAGCCTCCTGAGTAGCTGGGATTACAGGTGTTCACCACTGTGCCAGGTAATTCCCCTTACTCTAATTTAATACTCCTTAAGCAATCTACTATGCTTTTCTCTTTACCAGTTTCAGTTCTTTCTTTAAATCAGCATACTGGAATTCTAGCAACCATCTGAAATTCACATGCATTTTAGTACCTATGATCACATCTTTATGAGCCAAATCATCTTGGACTTGGTCAAAATTGAGTCCATATTTGAGAATATGGTCAAATAAACAAGCACATGATGTGTGGTCTACCCAATTACCCCAACCTTTCCTTAGAACATTAGCACCCAACTCTATTCACTATTAGTTTCTTGAATTTCTTCTTCTCCTTTTATGTAGTATGTATATTAAAAACAAGGCAGGCAGAGTTCAAATATTGCAGGTTTCCCTCTACTGTTTGTAAAACTATTACTAGGAATATATTCTTTTGATGCTCCTTATTATAATGGCTACTAACTTTTAGCCACAGTGTACAGGTAACATGGGTGGAAGTTAATCTGGGGTTAGAAATTTGAAAAAGAATAGAACTCTCAAATGATTTTGAAAACTAACCAGTTTTAATAGGTTTACAAGAATAAGAGTTTTTTCCCAATGATTAAATATAAGAATTAAGCATAGACAATTGCTAAGATCACAAAGAAACAACCAGACATGATGTCTTACCAAATATTTCCTACATTCTTAACAAAAATAACAAACAGGAATATCTAGCTTCTGGATTAGACTATCTCTGTTGTGATACTTCTGGAAGAAAGATGACTCAGGAACATGTTGAGTTGTTCCAAGAACATAAGATCAATAATCAGACTTTGGCAAACTCTATAGGACAAATGGGCTGAATTTTTCAACATATAATTTGTAAGGATATAAAAGAAATGGAAGCAGAAACTATAAACTAAAAGAAATTTAAAATAARTAGGGAGTTTTCAAAAAATGGTCAAGTACATATAGTGTACTTCTGTGCAATAAAACTATTTAAAATGTGAGGAAATATTACTATAAAAGTCAAGTTTCAGGGTTGCTTTTATGGGGAGAAAGAACTTGTGATTGGGATGAGGCACATGGTTCTGGAGCTGGCAAAATTATTTTTCTYAACTTGGTGGGACTTGCCTTATAATAATTCATTAGATGGATTCACTTCTTTCTAGTTTTTTTTTTTTTTGGTATACATGGTTTATTTTACATTAAGTTTTTTTTCCTCTTAATATATTGGAAGCAGCTGGGGAAAGCAAGGAGCAGGTGAATCTGTGTGGTGTGGGAAAGTCAGCACAACTCACTTCAAGTAGAGAAGGGACTGTCTTTCATATACAGGAAGACTTTAGTTGAGRTTATGTGGTATAGAAAGTTTCTAGGAAAATATTAATAGTGAATGATAATTTGCTAACAAAAAATTAGAAATTCTCCTTCCTCCTGACCCTCTAAAGAACAACATGATTAATAATAGTACATTAGAAGGGAGGTAACATGAGAAAGCTCATTTTGGATAATCAAGAAGGATAACAATGAATGTCATGAATGGAATGACTTGGTCTCATTGTTCTGACTGGAGTTCATTTGAGGTACTGGAATTACCTAAAATTTACAGGAGTGGTACCTGAGGCTTGATTATTGTAGAAGCTTCTATATAGTTACTTTGCATATCAATATTTCCATGGAAAAAGGTTTTCAAAGTTCTGGGGTAGGGGAAGCCTTTTACCTTTTACTTTGAGAACAATAGTTCTTGTGATCAAGAGAAAGGGAATCAGAAGAGCTGCTCTATCCATTCTACTGCTGTCAACCTTTAARGATACTTCTGAATCTTGGATCACATCAACTTCTTCCAAAAAAATCCCTTGGGTTCCAAAGCTTAATGATAGTGAAAAGAAGGATGTGAGAAAAGAAGGTCAAGGCAAAAGCAACATACAAAGTTAGAAATGGGCCAAGAGATGTGTTCATTCAGATACTGGCCMAATGAATACTGACAGGGTCAATATAGGAGGAATGAGTGTTTTAGTCAGCTTTTTCATTGCTGTGGCTAGAAGACCTACCAAGACAATTTCAGAAGAGTTAAAGTTTATTTGGGGACTCATGGTTTCAGAGGGTTTCAGTCTACAGATAGCCAGTTTCCTTCCTTGGGGCTCAAGATGAGGTTGAACATCATGATGGAAGAGTGTGGTAAAGGGAAGCAGCTCACATGAAGATCAGAAAGTAGACAAAGACTCCACTTGCCAGATACAAAATACAGAACATCAAAGGCRTGTCCCCAGTGATCCACTTCCTCCAGCCACACCCTATCCACCATCAGTTTTCACTCAGTTAATCCCACYGGGATTAGTTCACTGATTGGGTTAAGGTTCTCATAACCCATTTCACCCCTGAGCTTTTGGGGAATACCTAATATCTAAACCATAACAATGAGCATGTAAGGGCAGAAATGCCAAGTAATGAGTCATCACTCACCAAGTTGCCACTCTAACACCCCAACCTGCTAAAGTCCATTTATGTTGTCATTAGGGTTTCCAGGTGTGAGGTAAGGGTGAGGAGAGTGGAGGAGGGGAGTCTTAGTAGACAAAGGGGAATGTCTCTAGGTAGAAAGTCATACTAACAAACTTGGACACTCATTTTATGAAATACATTTATTTCTTACAAAATAACTTTAGAACTCTTAATGTTATTGTTTCAAAATAAAAATAATGAAAAACTCATGTTTTTGAAATGTACACAACATAGAATTTTATGCTTTTTATTATTTTTTTACCACCAAACTATATTTTTAAAGTTTTAAATGAAATACAACTCAGCTATTAAGTTGAGTATTATGCGTCACATGCTAGCTGTATGTTTTGAAATTTCTTTGGCTTTATGATAGAGTTCAATGGGCTGGGGCTGGGGCTCAGTGGTACAGCACTTGCCTTGCACACTGAGGCACTGGTTTGATTCTTAGCACTGTATATAAATAAACAAATAAAATAAAGGTCCATCAGCAACTAAAAAAATGTTAAAAGAAGTCTTAAAGATTTATGATAAGAGTTCAATATATAAAATTAAGGACAATATAAAGGCATGATTTGGATGAGACATGGAGATTCAGTGTTTCCCAAATTTTTCAGTTGAAACATGCCTATTAGCGGAGAACTCACCGGGTCCAGGGAAAATAACTTGATGAAAGTCCAAACTTCCTATAAAATGTTTTTTATATTGCTTTAAATWTTTACTATTTCATTTTTAAAATTTATGAGAATTTTGTTATATTCCATAAAATGTACATTCATCTTATCCTACATTTTATTAACAATATTAGCTAAATACATTGTATAAATATTTGTTATTATAAACTATTTTAAGTTATTTTCTATGGAGCAAAATGAACACTCTGGGAAGATGCATTACACATTTTTTTTTCTGAGGCTTCATATATACTTGAGAATATAAACCTCCAGTTTGGAAATATGGACTTATAAACACGTTATTTGAATATTTTCCTGGGGTATTCTTACCTCCATTGTAGGTGGAACTTTTCTTGTTCGTCTTATCCAAGCTAGAAAAAAAAATATTTAAATGTTAGTTCTCATACTTTACACATTTTATTCACTCATACATGAGAAGTATTTTTTGAGCACCTACAATATATTGTTATAAAATTAGGGATACAGCAGGGAAAGAGCAAATGTAAGTCCCTCTTCTTCTGAGGCATATATACTAGGTGAAGATTGTTCAAAAAATAAACACAAAACATAAAATATCAGGTGGTGATTTGTGTCTCATGAAACAAATACAACTGTATAGGGAAGATCAAGAAAGGACAGTTTCACATTTTTAAAAATCATACCTCATTATCACCTGAATTCAATTTAGTGTATTTATGGAATACAGGCCAAATAACAATATACTAAACTTCAAGGCAATATCAAAATTATATTATTCTAGAAATTTGAATTAGTTTTCAAATGATCGAAGAAGGGACTTGGAAAAGTTTCTATTACAAAGATTTCTCTTCTGATCTGTTCCAGCAAGTAGCTACTTCTTATGGTTAGGAAGCAACATCAGGCCTTAGCTCCTTAGCTCTCAACGTTTAGGAGACAAGCTGCAGAGGTAGAGAGCAGTCCATTTGTTAAGTGCCTGTTGGATACTGTGCCCTGTGCTAAATGTTTTATAGCAAAGGAAGGGAGCCAGACAGCTGCCTCTGAGGAAGTTATCAGAATCTTGTGGAAGACAGTATAGCACAGTGCTGTCCTAGAGACAGATTTTCTGGATTCAAATATAAACTTAACATTGCTGTTTTACCTGGGGTAAGATAATTAATTTCTAAGCATCAGACTTTCTATCTGTAAAACAGAAATTATTGTAGTATCTATACTCTGGGCTTTTGTGAAAATTATATAATATAAATGGTTAGTTTAGATCCTGGMATGTAAGAATAAGCAAGGATGTCTAAGTTATTATTAGTATTATCTTTATTATTCAATACACCTACATGTCTTATAAAATACTCATAAAAGCAAAGATCAATAATATCTGCTTGCAGCCAGGGGCAGTGGTGCACACCTGTAATCCCAATGACTTGGGAAGCTGAGGCAAGAAGGATCACAAATTCAAGGACAGCCTCAGCAACTTGATGAGACCCTGTCTAAAAACAGGGGTGGGGGGATGTGCTGGGAAGGTAGCTCAGTGGTAAATAACCTTGGGTTAAATTCCCCCATACTGCAAAAAATAAAACAAACAAAAATTGTTATCTGCTTGGTCTATGAGAACATATAGGAGTTTGACAAAACATACTGTAGGAAATAAGACCTTTAGAAAGTAGGAAACATTTGTTTTATCATTTTAGTTGACTTAATCTTCATTACAAAATTATTTCACAGAGTAATTAAACAACCTTCCCAGAATTTGAATCCAGATCTGATCCTGTCTAAAAACTATCTGTGCTCTACTAAGCAGTCTCTCAAACTTCAGTGCGCAACTTGCAAAGGGCTTGGAAGAATAATAGGTGTGACATTAACTATACGTCAGAAAATAAGAATTACTGACCATATTTTACAGATTTGGAAACTGAGGCACAGATAGATCAAGCAACTTCCTATGGCTATATATTTAGTGAGTAGCAGACTAGAACTCAAACCCTGACTGAATTGGCTCTAATGTCTGAGCCTTGTCCATTTACCAGTCACTTTTTCTTCAGACCAGCTTTACCAGACTGCCTTTAATCATTTAAGTAATAGAACCAGAACCTATTCTTGTGAAAAGCCTAGCACTAAATGGTTATAGGTACAAAAACAACAACACTCAACTGTGGTTCTGGAATTAATTATTTATCCCTGCTATGCTCTCTTGCCTGGGTCCCCTACATGTATTTCCAATATGGCTCTAATGTTCCGTATTCTCTACTCCTGAACTTCTATTACTGTTATCCTTTTCTGCATTTTTTCTCATTACCTTGGTTCATTTCTAGACAAAACTTGAAGATATTTTATATCCCTTCTTAAGCTATAGGGTTAACAAGGGAAGGATGAATCCATGGGAGATTTATTTTCTACCACCTAAATRCCTTGAAAGAGTAAGCACTTAATAATATAGTTGTTGACTACTTCCATTATAAAAATATTTGTTGTAATAGGATTTTGACCTATATTAGGAAATCTGGCTAAGAAACACAAACATTCCTCTGTCCAGTCCAAAATAAATGATTTATGAAACTTTCCAGTTGCTTCTTTGTAGTCAGAATAAGTTGATTATCTCTGTGGTGATTTTTTTTCTAGAAAAGAGGCTTTAAAAATAATTTAGTATGAATCAAATCTCTAAAAAATAAGCAATAAATCTTCCGTTTTCATTTAGATTAGAAAGTTAATTCCGAACAATCAACTGCTGGGCAGGGTTCAGTAAACTTTAGTCTACAAAACAAATTCAGTATACTGCTTGCTTTTACATTTTTAAAAGATTGGTTAAAAAAAAAGAATTCAAAAGGACATCATTTCCTGACACATGAAAATTATATAGAATTCAAAACTTCAGTGTCTATGAGGTTTTACTGAAACACAGCCATACTCCTTTTTATTAATAGCTGGAATGTACTACAACCAAAGAGTTGAGTAGTTGTAACAGACCAATTGACTCACAARTCCTAAACTCTTTACCTTCTGGACCATCAAAGAAAAAGTTTGCCAAACCCAGTACTAGAGCTGTCCTAAAGTATGACCTCTTTAGCAATGACTATATATCTTGGTCTGAAAATACTTCAATTATCTAAAATAACGATCATTATCAGGCACTACATTTTTGTAAACTAATGACTACCTTGTATTCTAGARTCTTTAAATATATGCCAGTGGGTATAAGATCAAGATAGTACACTGGCTTAATGCATACATACTATTGTTATGAAAAACTCCTTCAAAATTAATGTGTCTTAATAATTAGTCTATAAAACATAATTTTAATTATCTTGTAAGGTTCAACACAGAAAAAAATTGAATCCAAATCATGGGGAAATTGATACTAAATACCATCTGCTCCCTAAGGAAAGACATTGGAGCTTCCTTTAGCTTCACTTTAAATTATCATTTAAAGGATCTTTGGTTTATCTAGATATATAAAGGCAACAGCTGAAATAAGTTTGTATATTTATGATTCTCCAATAACCAGGCATTTGAAATGTCTTGAGATGACTATTGATGTCCAGTACTGTTTGTTATGTATTTAGTAAAGGTTACAGCTGGATATATTTAATGTAATCACTCATTTATATAATCATACCCACTTTCCCAACTACTCCAAACAACATATTAAATGTCCTCCTGAAGACTGGCAGAAGTTAGGAGGAAGATGGAACAGAAAAAAACATTAATATTAGATCATTACCTTTTAAAGCTTCAAAACAATTTGATTATATAATGATTTTGCTATTGCTAATTATATCTGTAAGATCGATCCTTTATCAGTCCTCATTATAATACAATCTCTGTGTGAAGTGAATTTAGCAAGATAACTGGACACTTTATGCCTTATGATTCTCATATTCTTTCATCAGTCTTCTTTTGCATTCTCATCAGTATGCATGGGATTTTCATTGAACTTTAATATTCCTATTGGAACATAACAAACCATAATGAGTGTAAAAGTGCATGTGCAAATTAAAGCTCCCATTAATCACTGAGAGACTAGAAGAAGGCATGAAAATACTTGATGAAGTGTACATTCTTCAAATCTCCATAGGTTCTATAAATGTCCGATATATTTTTAGAAGCATTGCCAATAGGTTAAATGAGATATCATACCACCAGATTCAGTAGTTGATCATGCAGAAGCAAAATTATGGAAAAGTTACCAATAKTGTGCATCCAAACTTCACTTTAGGAAGAGACTAAAATAAAGCCTCATCTTTTAAAGTATGATCTTGCCATTTCTGACTGCTGACCTTTATAAAGAACAACATGGAGACAGAACATGGCACAGCAGARGAAAACTGCATTCCAAGCTGCACTGTGGCTCAGGGGCAAAGCAGTGGATGTATAGCTTCTCAGCATGGTGGGTAAAAGGGATTTCACTACAATCTAATAATGGACACTCAAAGTGGCTTAGGGACTCAGAAATGTGGGTACAATAAACAAAGAATAAAGAAAACATCTTTTTTTTTTTTT